TCCTTGGCCAGCAGTCAGGAAGCGGAACAGCAGCCTCTCCGTCGTGATGGCCTCCATTGGCCGTCTTCTCGTCGCTTCCTGCTTTGTTGTCTTCCTTACCGTTGTCGTGGCCAGGGTTCTCGTCTCGGGCAGCTGCTTCCTGCGCCGCACGGCCTACGGAGCCGTTTGAAGTCTCCCCCTCGTCGAGAGTGCCTTCTGCCCCTGCGCCCGGCGGAGCCTCAGCCGCAGCTCGTTTGAGTGTAGCGGGCGGCGATGGCTGCTGCGAGGCGCTGTCTCTCTCCTCCACCTCCATCGAGTCTTCTTGGTGTCCGTTTTGCATCTGCGCACAAGGACGAGGTGAGCATCGGCTGAATTTTCGGGCGCTACAAATGTTGATTAATTTCTAATCTTTTCCAAGTGGAAAGCCAACTTTCGCGTATCTAATGCGACATCGCTCGCGCAGCGATCTTAGCTTCCGTGTGAATCACAATCAAGCTTGAAAGCATACGGGGCGTACTCGTGTGGGAACGAAAGATCTGCCGAGATCTGTCACGATCAGGTTTCGCAACAGGCTGAGCGCAGCTACAATCTGACGCACAAGCTCAGGCTCACGGCCTCTGTTGACTTGACCCTCTCGCTGCTGCCGGGATCGCGGGCAAGGATGGATTGAAGCAAATCACGAGCCGCCGCAAAGACCGCCAGCCAATAATTCCAATTTATTTTCTATTTCTTTTTCTTTTATGCGTCGAACGAAATAATTATTATATTGTCATTCAAGCCCGGATGAGGAGGGTCGACGTTGCCTTCTTGGAGTCCATCCTGGTCGGCGGGCAATGCGGTGCTGCAAGCAACGGCCAGCAGCAGCACCACCCCCCGGCGTTGAGCTCGTCGCCGTCGTCGGGCACGGGTTTTTTGTCCGCCTGGTCCGCCAAACAGACCCCGTTCGAGGTGCTCTACACGGCAGAGGGCTTTCGGCGGGTCAGGGACTGGTTCGGCCGCAGTGCCGGGCACGGGCTGGAGCGGCCCGCCGCCTGCTGGACCCGAGAGGACGCGGGCGAACGCAAAAAGAACGAAAGCGAAGACGACCAAGGTTGCGACGAAGAGGAGGCCGCAGACGACGGCCGGGCGGTAGAATGCGACGACGGCTACCTTACCGAAAGGCAGTTTGTGGAGATACTCCGCCGCCTTGCCGACTTCAACGACACCGAGGCCCTCGAGGTCTTTGACATTTTTGGTACTACCACCCTCTCTGCTGGTTCAACGCGCGACGCCTGTTACGCTTACTGGGTTCCTCATGCGTGCATTTGGTGTTGGTGTGACGTGTGCGTATCCGATGC